GTTGTTCTTTGCTGTTGTCATACAGCAGTGGCCGTAGCCCTCCGACTCTGGGCAGGAGTGTGGCAGGTGCCTCTGCCAGGAAGGAGCCAGGCCCTGGCCCTAGAGGCCCTCCTTCCAGAACCGAGTCTCAGAAGGGAGTGGAGACACTCCTGTCTCACCTCTGTCACTGGCTGGGCCTCAGGCTGTCTTCTTGTGCGGCTCCTCAGGATGCGAGGAGAGAAAAGCCCTGTTTCCCAGGCAGCTATCCACAGCACAGACACTTGCCGTGGGCGGACAGCCTCACCGGCCAGGCAGCCAAAGAGGAGCCGTGGCGCCTCCAGGCGGAGGCCAGCGAGTGCTCCCCGGGACGGGGCTGCCCGAGGCGAGCCCGTTTGCTGTGCTCAGCTGGGGCTGCAGGCGTCTGGGTCCTCTCTCGCTGAAACACAGCAAGGGGACAGCAAACCAGGTCTGCTCAGGGTCCGTGATCCAGAAGGCTCCGGGCTCTGGGCTGAGCCCACCTGGCACAGAAGTGAAACTGCATTGCAGCCAAGATTCCTAAGGTCGTACATCCGGGAGGCAGATGTCCCGCGGAACCACTCTGGGGAGCCTCTGTGGCCAGCGCTGGGCCACCTGCCGCCTGTGTTACACATTTCCTCGCCGACTCCGATAGTGGCCATTTTTTGCCATTACAGGGGCAGGACTTTTTCTCGTTTCTTCCTGGAACGGACTGAAGCCAGCGATTATATTATATTTATGCTATACACTTATCATCTCTGCTCGGTATATTTTCACCACAGCGATCAACTATAATCATTAAGAGCCACTTACACACAAACTCTGAAAACCGTTAATGAATTAGCTAATCGTTTACAGTCCAGGAAAATTCTTGGCTTTTGCTAGAAATCCAGGGAGTGACGACGGGCAATTCATTCATCGGTCTTTCGTTCAATTTCAAGTATAAATACAAATAAGTAAACTTGACAAACCACATCTTTCTTTTTAGACTCTGAATCATCCTATCGATTTTTGTATCCAAAGCAACTACGAGCTACTCCGTCTCGTCCCTCTTATTGTCATTTGGGGGCAGGCTGCTTTCGGCTGTATTTATATTTATTTGGAGCAATCGATGGGATGCAGTAGTTCAATCACCTGCACAATCTAAAT